CAGAATTCCACTAGGTGAGAAAGTGATGCAGAGAGAAGGTGTAGGAGAGAGACAGAGAGAGATTTAACTAATTTTGGCCCTGGACATCATTGGCTTCCATCTCATCCACTGTCAGAACGTTAGAATAGATTCCTGTCCCAACCAAAAGGAGTGTTGCTTCCAGCAGAAAAAAAAGGGTTGCCAATCCCTCTTCAAAATGTTATGCACATTTAGTTAAAGTTGTTCAGGACTTTTGTGAGATTGACTGCTATGTTTTTGGCAAATACACAGATATACATATGCACACACATGCACACACACCCACACCCACACACAAAATGACACATCTGAATCTTCCTTTGTGGTTTTTGTAGATCAGCCCAAAGGAGAAATTTAGCATAATTGCTTCCAGCCTGGCAGCTGGCTCCAGCTAGCTTTGAGGGGCAACCCTGAGTAGCTTAGGCAAGATTAGCCTGTCTCTCTCAGGGGCTTCCTGTTTATTAGTCTTTAGCATGGATAATTGTACAGTTACTGTACTAACAATTTGCTGTATTCTGCCTGGATGGTTATCCCTTGAGTTTGTGCTTCTGTTTGAGGAACCTTGATGTTGTACAGTTACTAACAATTTGCTGTATTCTGTCTGGATGGTCATCCCTTGAGTTTGTGCTTCTGTTTGAGGAACCTTGATTTTTTTTCCAGCACTGGATGTCAAACTGTACTTTTGTACCTAGGAAAAATGTGACTTTCCGTATTGATAATATATTTATTGTGGTGGTTGTAGCATTTCTCAGCTTTTCGTCCTGTGTCTCCTTTTGATAAACAAAACATCTTACATACCCCTTCAAACCTTCCTCCCACAAATTTGAAAGTTGAAGTATCACAATTTAGAACAAGTCAAAACACTGCTGAATTTTGAAAATGGGCATTGGGTAGTTTTTTTGACATAAGGATAATTGAAGATGGGGGGAGGGGCTCTAAGGCCAAGAGAACAGGCACTATCCAAACATAATGAACTCTAGAGCATAATTCAAATAAAGGAAAAGATAGGTAATAGGTACACTATTATGTGCCCCCAGATGCAGTTCAACAATAAAATACATATTGGGTAAGCAATAGAAAGAGTCAGTTTTCCTGTTTTCCCAAATAAGGTATGAGATTATAATATAGAATATGTTTTTTCAAACAACACCTTCTCTGAAATTCTGATATGTCCTGCTGGGGAGCAGGGGCACAGTCCACTTGTTGAGAATCACTGACCTAGAAAAGTTGATGGGTAATTTTTTATTTATTTATTTAACACCACCTTTCAGTTTGTTTAGCACCAGATACTACAAAGTACAATGATAGAACAATAGATAACCTCCTGAAAAAAATATGCAAGATAAATGCCTAGTGAATAAGGCACCCCTGGGAAGTTTTTGCAGCCCCAAGCCCTCTGTGACTCTCATCTCCATCTTTTTATCCAAAAAAGGTTTACAGTGGTGCCTCACAAGACGATATTAATTCATTCCGTGAAAATCGTTGACTTGTGAAAAAAACATCTTATTTATTTATTTATTTAACTTATATGCCGCCCACACTACCCGAAGGTCTCTGGGCGGCTTACAGCATTTAAAATACAATAAAAAGGCAAAATAAAAGGGCAAAATAATTAAAATGCAATTAAAATATATATTCTAAAAATTGCCATCAGACCTATAGCTGATATTATTTCAGTTAAAAAGCCATTTGGAAGGTCTTGTGAGGTTCCCTATGCATCGGTCTCAAAAAAAAGTCTTGCAAATCATCGGTCTCAAAAAAAAAAGTTCTTGCGAAGCACAGTCATAGAAAAAACATCTTGCGAGGCACCATAGTGATCGCAAAAAAATCATCTTGCCGGTTTTTCATCCCATGAGGCAATCGTCTAGCAAGGCACCACTGTATTACCATTCCCAGAGTGGTGGTTTTCAGCTGAGGGTTTTGGGTGCATCTCCCAAGATCTCCACCTCACTAAACCCCAAGAACAGACAGCAGAAAAGCCCACACGGACACTTCCTATCTGTCTGTCTATTTAATGGGTTTTTCCTGCCATTTCGGATTCCTGTGTGGCTGGAAGCTGGGTCTAGCTCTAGGGGCCAAACATTTGGCCCCAAAACCCACTGACACCATCCACCATTATTTTACAGGGGAGGGCATTCCATAGTTCCTATCACATTGTCCCTTGTATTCAAGTCATTTGTAATTAATTTTTCCCCTTTAATTTTTGGAGGGTTGAGATATGCTTCCCCACTTATTTTAATATATGCAAGTTATAATGTAATCTCCCTCCTTTTAAAAAAGTTGTGAACACCATCAACCTTTCTCTTTCTATAGCAATCCTTCCCCTTCTCATCACAGAAAAGTCACTCCTCTTTTGCTTTCTTTACTGTATTTTTGAAGGCTATTCACAAAGAGTATAGTTTTTTTTTAAAGGAAGCCAATTGCAATGTGGAAGTGTGGCATCACCAGCCTGCATCTCTTACAGGTGCAGTGAACAGACCACATGACTGTCTCTAAGTTGAGATTTGTAGAGCTATTGTGGAAGTGCTGGCATTTTGGAGTATGCATATATTGATTGTCTGGATAAATCCTCTTGAGTTCTCATTTTCATGGAACCTGTGTACACAAAATGTCTCAACCTATGTATACAAAATGAGCTCTTCTCATCTCCTGTATTACACTGAACTGGCCTACACCCAACCACCCCCCAAAATGCTGGTAACAACAAACAATTATGCCATACAAAGGAGGAGGAATGTGGTCTTTTCTGTTTTTTCTCATTGGTATTGTACTTATCCCTGAATGTTAGAGTTGCAAATGTTTTCTGTGACTACTAATTAGAGACACTTTTGTGTGTATTGTCTCTATAAAGTCCACTCTCCCCCTCTTTTTTTGTTCTCCATGTCAGAATGAAGAACAAGCTGTGGTATTTTGAATTTGGCACAACAGAAACCTTTGCTGCCACCTGCAAGAAGCTTCATGACTATGTAGAGATTGAGGTGAGTTGCCCAGAATCTTTCACCTGTTGCAAATGCTGGAGGCTCAGGCTCATGACTACCCAGGTTATAGCAATTATTTCATAAAATCATGACATTAGAAAGGATCTCAAGTTTTGGCTTAGTGCAAAATCCATAACTACAGCACCCCTAACATCACAGTCTGCTTCCTATTTAAATTCCTATTAAAAATTCCAATAAAAGAGGGTCTCCTTGTACAGTTTGTTTCACTGCTGAACATCAGAGAACAGTAGGACAGTTATTTCAATGTTTAATTGAAATCAACTTTCATGCTCTTTCCACTCATTGGTTCTGGTATCAGCAGAGAAAAGGTCTGCTCTATTTTCAGCACGATAACCCTTCAGAGATTTGAAGTCCACTTATTATGGTGCCCTTTACTTTCTCTTCTCCACGCTAAATTTACTCAGATCCTTCAGCTATTCCTCTTTCGACAGGACCCCTATTCAAGTATGCAATAAAAGAGCCAATCTTAACCTCACAAGCAAGGGAAGCTAATCCTGCCACCTCCTCTCCTAATGCTCTGGTGTGAAGAGTTGACTATGAAAAGAAAAGCAGTCTCCATCCTTGGTAGTTTTTCTTGTGATCAGAAAACGGAAAAATTAGCACTATTCCAGCATTCATTAAAAGGATTAATCTTAAATTCTTAACCCTGAGTGAAGGAAGCAGGCTAGCTTGCCCACTCCATTCAAGTATGTGAAAACATAAATCTGAAGAGTAGTCTTAGATATGGAACATCTCCAGGCAATCAGGGCATGAACTGAACCATGAACCATAAAAAAACATGAACTGGACTGGTTTGTGGTTTGTTTGTGGTTTGGTTTGGAGATCCCATTTTGCCAAAACGAAATGAAGTGCCTAACTTCTTTTCCCTCAGCGCTTCATTTTGCTTTGGCAAAACTGGATGTCCGTTCCTCATCCTCCCCTGCCTCCATCACCTCCCTACCTTGTCTTGAAGCCATCGCTGCCATCCTGACAGGCAGCAGTCCCAGCTTCCATGCAAGGAGCCAGGCCTGCTATCTGTGTGCCTGCACCCACCACTCAGCTACAGGCAGGCACATGTGCACAGGCAGCAGGCCCCAGCTTCAAGGAGCCAGGCCTGCTGTTTCTGTCACCTGAGTGGTGGGTGGGTGGGTGCATGCACACAGACAGGAGGCCCTGTGGGCAACTGCCCTCTACAGCATGAACCCAAAAAACAAACTATGAATCAGTTCATTTTGGGGGGTGCTGTGGTAGTTTGTGGTTCATGGGACAACAAAAATTGTTAATAGCAATTACATACATACATACATACATACATACATACATACATACATACATACATACATACATACATACATACATACATACATACATACATACATACATGTGGATGTGGATGTTTTGCCGCCAACTATGAGAGAGAGGGAAGACGGTGGGCAGAGCTAAGAAAAGTTACTCTGAAGGCGAAAATTCCTGAATCTTCCAACCACCTGGACCACTAGCTGGGGAATTCTGGTTGTCATTCCTCAGAACCTGTTTTTTCCAAGTTTTAGGGGCAGATGCATTTTGACTCACTTCCTTCTATACTGTGCCATAGACTAGCTGGGAGTCAGAAGAAAGCTTCTTTTGCCTGAAGAGACACTGCCAAAGGGCTACTCTCTTTTCCTCTTGAGGTTTATGATTTCCATAGCCTTCATGAAAACAATCGTCATCTCATTGCTAATTAGAGCTGGCACATGCTTCTCTGGCCTGCAATTACAAATACAAGCAAGCTTTCAGATTAAAATACATTCAAATGTATTCTAGCTAACAATACACTGCCTGTTGCTCTTCTCATTGTTTGCATGTAAACAGATGCTTTCTTTGCCACAAAGAGCTGGAAGCTCCAGCCAGTCCTTCAGTGACATCGCGGTCCTCCCCCACGCCCTAGCCCAGGACAACCTTTGGGCACAAGGGGAGGTTGGTTTACAGTAGAGAAAGCTCTGGTTTACATACAGATACCGAAGGCATCACTTCAGTGAGAGGAAAAACAACCGTACACAGAGAGAGTCATTTTAAAAGTTTATACACATCTTTAATGGATTCCCTTTAAGCTTGCTTGTTGGCCCTGGCATCTGAGTGCTTGTCATCTTGAAAGCCAGTTTTAGAACAGAATTAGGCCACTTCCTCTCACAGCTGTACTTCAGAGCTTGACTGGTACCGCCATCTTTGGGCTGCATGAAAATAGCCTTTAATCACAGAAAGGAGTATGCCTTGGTGGTGGTGGTGAAGAGCACCATCATTTGACAGGGGCATGGGTGGGACTTCCTGCTTTAAAAGAGCGTGTCCCAGGACCCTGGACCCTTTTCCCTAGGAAGCTGGGCTGAGGGCGAAGGCCAGGTCTGTTTGCATGGATGCCTTGCTGAGTTTTTTCCCCCTGGGCTTTCTTTTTGTCTCCTGACCACATAGCCTGGGGGTGGGGCCTAGGGGTGGGACTTCCTGCTTTAAAAGAGCGTGTCCCAGGACCCTGAACCCTTTTCCCTAGGAAGCTGGGCTGAGGGTGAAGGCCAGGTCTGTTTGCGCGCACACAAACACACCACCACCACCTCCAATCACCACCACCACCACCACCACCACTACTACTACTACTACTACTGGGGCTTTTGTAGGGTGCAGTATTTTCAATAAAATACCTTCATTCTCCATCAGTAAATGATAAATGACCACTTCATGGCAGTCTACAGAAATTGTGCATTGAATGTTTTGCCCTCTGCATTGTTGCACTTTGCAACAATGAGACAAGTACAACAAGAGATTACCCCCTGGTCAAATATAACCCATTTGAAACTGATGGAGAGCAGAACTTGAAAACATTGGTTTTCGGGACTTACAGCTCCCAGAATCCTCTAGCCAACTGGATTAAAAAATGTTCCCTCTCCATGTGGGTGAGAAGGAAAGTCTCCAGCCCCTGGCCCTATCTGAAGTTTCCAGCTTCTAAGCCAAATTAGACCCAAAAGACCACCCCATCCAGTTCACTGAGATCCTCGATCCAACTTCATCCTTAAACAGAGCTCAGAATTTTGGACCACAACTCTTAGAATGCTGTAGCTCGCTTGAGAATTCTAAGATTGGGCATAATCTGTACGTGTTCTGATTCTGTGCCGTTAACTGATGCCTCTGACAGTGCCCCCTGAAGATGATCCAGAGCCATGTCAAATGCATCCATAAGCTACTACTTCTTGTCCATTTTGATATTCCTGACCTTTTGTTCTAGCAATAGTTCACTATTCCTTTCTATTTATTGCACTCTGTTAGAGTTTCTGAAACCCATGTACATATGCACATATGCACACACTCAAACCAAAAAAATAAATTCCTCTATTTCCCTAAGGATTTCTATGTTCCATTTCTGTTTTCCATTAAAATCTAGAAAGAGGCATTCTGGGTTTCGTTTGCTGTTTAAGTGAACACTACTATTACCTCCTACATCCTGCATGCGCAGTAAAGCTGTAAAATAAAGTCAGTGTAAAATGGCTTTGCCTTTTATTTGTTTTTCTAGGCATCAGCGGCTGAGATTGTATTAAGTTTGTAAATCACTACCATTCTTGGATCTCTCTCATCTGTGCTCAAGCCAGACAAGCTTACCCTTGTTTTGTATGCATACACGTGCTCCTTTCTAATCTGGGATATGTTGGTCTGGATCCAATTTCTAGTTCTAGCTTCATTGCACAATGAAGCACTGAGATTTACATACATGTTGATTTACTGCTCACAACTGATTCAGTGAGTCTAATCTGGTTTGGACAGTCAGTCGGATTTTGTACATAGCCATTTCATGTTAATTTGAAGCCCCAAATTATTCTGAAGCCTTACAAGGAAGGAATGCAAATCTTAGTCTTAGACCTGCCCCTTGACGCTAGTGAGAGAAATACAGTACCACATTAGACTGCAAGCAAGGAAGAGCAAATATTCTGTGGTAGCAAAAACACCTACATACAAAAATGATACATGAAAGCAAAGTGTGCTACATATATCACCCCATAGCACTCAAAACACTTCCTGGGTGGTTTATAATTTAATTATGCAAGCTACATATTGCCCCCTCCCATGAGCTGGGTACGCAATTTACCGAACTCAGAAGGAGGTCAAGCCAGCTACTTGAGCAGAGGCTTCACTGCAGTACCTCAGTTTAGCCACTGTGTCACATTAGGGTTCTAGCCTGACCTTTACTCATGCTAGTTTTGTGTGAGTAACAATTTCTTCAAGCAAGCAAGTGTTCCATAATGTGTTCTCTGGAGTCTGAAACAGTATTGTCCAGGAGAGGTTTTACTGTTTTGCATGTAGTTACCATTAGGCCTCAAGAATTTACAAAGAAAATGGACAAAAAGTGCCATCATTTTTATATATATCTAGGGGCCAGTTTTGTAAATGATCCTCCAAACATCTCAGTGGCCAAGCTTGGCGTTTGTTTGTTTGTTTGTTTGTTTGTATGTCTGTTTGTTTGTTTGATTGATTGATTGATTGATTGATTGATTGATTGATTGATTGATTGATTGATTGATTGATTGATTGATTGATTGATTGTTTGTTTGTTTGTTTGTTTGTTTGATTGATTGGTTTGTTTCCTTTCTCTCCGTAGGGAACCCAAGGCAACTCACAATACAGTGGACCCTCGACTTATTGGAACGGTGGCCACAGGTCTAAAAGTCCATAGGTCGAGGGTCTGTTTCCCATAGGAATGCATTGAAAACCCTGTGATCTGTAACCCGCCCAAGAAAAAAATGCCCCACACATGCAAAAAAATGAAAATAAATTGACCTTTCCTGTCCGAAGCCTTCTGGTGGTCCCCCACCGCTGCCATCGCTGCTGCCCAAGGCCTCCGAGGGCTTCTCCACCACTGCCAGAGGCCTCTCGGAGGTCCCCCGCCCCAGAGTGGACTGGGCCTACCAGGGGAGGGCTTCCCCCAGTAGGCCTGGTCTACTCCCCGGAAAAGCTTGGTAGACCTCCGAAGCACGATTTGCAGC